AAATTTGATAGAGGGAAAACCAGCATCAGCCCAGTTGACAAAAGACTGCAAAAGCTGCTTAAGTCTAAAAGAAAAGAGGAGCTTTTCTGTGCCTGAAATACATGATACTCCATTTGTCAAATAGTCCTTCTTTCACAAAATTAAATCAGCAAAACAAAATTGAAATCCAGTATAACTGTCTCAAGACTAAAAAGAAATATATTAGCCAATGTAGCAAACCAATACCAAGGAATAAAAGTACCCTAAAACATTTAATTTTTTTACCTGGGGGAGAACAGAGAAGAATGGCTATTACTACTGGCTGTAGGGGGAAGGTGCTCATCTGGTACACAATCAATAGAGTAAAACCCTAAATTCAGACAGACTGTATTTTGCTCCCACCTGAAAGCCATTGTTTGGAATTTGCTTACCCCTGGAGCAAAACCAACAACACTATTGATCCTGCCATGGTTTTTATGGCTGAAAAACAAAAATCCACTTTCTTAACAACTGTGCCAGCATTTCTTTCCTGTTTTCAGCCACCTTGAAAGCAAACAGCTTCACACAGCATTTAACCAATGTGGTGTTCACCACAAGGCCCTGACACGCAGCAACCAGGACATAGCCTAAAGGCAATTTTGTGAGTGTGCCTCTAGTAAGTCAGTGCTGGATTTCAGTTCTTCCTCTAAAATCACCTCACACAAATTGTCCTGCTCTGCATTGACAAAACATTGCTGGGCAGGACCTCCAGAAGCTGAATGGGTTGATGAACATGGTGATGTCAAAGCTCAGATTTGTATGCCTGTGTTAGCTCCTAGCTGATTAAAAGTCACCTCATCTTCCTGTGTCCTTTTGGCCCTGACTGACTTGAAATGCTACTTACCCAGTTTTTGTGTAGTATTCAACACCCTTGTGCTCTGAGTGATACTCCTGGGATCTGTGTGGGTATTTACATGCCCTCTCCCCACTCTTGTAGCATCTGAACACTTCATATTTGAACGTGTTTAACTCCAGCATCCCCCCATCACTGTTAACCTGTGTGCGCAGGAGGACAGTGCAGCAGGGTTAAAGCTTCCAGAAGAAATGTGGCAGAGTCAGAAACTAAGTTTGGGTCACCCAAAGCATCTAATTTCTCTTTGACGATTAAAACAAACTTTCCTCTCAGTTAATCAACTGACAGTAGAAAGGGCAGTGCTGAGCATGCCAAAGCAGTGAGCCTGTAACAATTTCCATTACAGATTTATAAGGAAATATAGTATTTCTTTAAAAATTGAACCAATGCTAAAGCTATTGTGACAAATAAATTAATGAGGCCTTTTCAAAGGCATTCAAAGGCATCCATGACTCTGTCTCTGCTGTTTCACAGACACCACATGTGGCCTAATTATTTTTTTAATAAAGCAAAGGAAATGTTACGAAGTAAATCCTGCACTGCAGATTAAAGATGTTAGTTCAGCAAAGCTTTCATCAGAACAAGGACCACCTCTCCCCTGCCTCCTTACAGGGTTACAAGCTTTGACCTTTGTCTGGGAGCCTTGCATCTCTGCAATTGACTCCAGTTAAAAATGACTCCAGCCAAATATTGCAACAAATGTTTAGATTAAAACCAAAAATCCCTACATCTGCAAATTTGCTCTCAACCCCCTGCTTTCTTTGAAGAAAATTTCAATCCTGTTTCTTACTGGGCTCTGATGGGTGGCTCCTGGTTAATCTCTGTCTGTCTCCCTGGCAACAGTCAAAGGAGAGGGCTCAGAGGTGGGCAGGGAGGGAGCCTCCAGCCGCTGCTCCTCTTATCAGGGTCCATCAGCAGGTGTCCCTTGCTCATATCCAGGAACAATAAATGCAGCCTGTGGCTAAGGGAACCACCACACGGCTTTCTTCAGAAGTCTCAAAGAGCAGTAGCTGGACTCCAGATTTTGAGATCTCTAACTGTATGCAGGCACTGCAATTGCCATGATAATATTTTTTTTTCACTTTAGTCAGTCTTTGTTCAAACACCCTCTACAGACATATATCACTCCAAACAGAAATGCTGAGCCACCAGTTTTTGTGCAATCTGAAGTTTAGATAGCGTGGCAACAGTAAAACAGTTTACTGTGTTCACAAAATCAATCTTGTGTATATTTGCTTCATGTTTTTTCCCCATGAAATGAGCAGCTGTTTGCAAAAAAAAAAAAAAAAAAGGAGAATTTATGGCACAGCAACATGGGTGCTGCAGGTCATGCTTCTGCCAACATCTGCTGACCTGTAGCACTCTCCAGCCAATGGCAACATACTCTGCATGCTCACTTTTAATAACTGTTCTGCAAGACTCCTGCTAAAATTAAAATTATAAAGGCTTCCTGTCAAACCAAGTTCAAAGGTAACATCTGCTCATCTGCTCATGAAGAACATGAAAATAATTGAGCCTGAACTGAAGCACTGTCCCTTACTTAAAAGTGACCCAGGAGTGAAAAGGATCTTAAATTGGTAAATTTCTTAATAAATTATGACACTGAAAATAGTACAGGGTAAGAAATTTGACCCACTTGAACCAAGACACTTCCAGAAGAGAATCACAAGCTCCCATAAATGGTTCCTGACAGAAGATGGCTATCCAAAATTACTGAATTATGGATAATGATCTCGCTTCATGCCACCCTTGGACCCAGTACTGTCATGGGCATCCATCAAAAGCATTTAGGGATGTTTTTCTCTTGAAACTGGTGACAATTCTTCAGCCCTTGACTCTACCAAAAGTCAGCTCTCCAAAAGCAGAACATCAAAAGATAGTTGGATACCTTTAAGGGACTAAAAGATACTTTAAAGCACAGCTCCACAGGGCTCATAAATGACCTCCTCCCTGGGAAGCCTGGCAAGAAACAATGCTGGGTCAGGTTTTAAGATGAATCAGGCTTTCTTGTAGGTTGTGAGACAGTCCCTGAAAAAAACACAGAGAAAAACATCTAAATAATTGAGAGACCAAATACTCTTTCTTACTTTATGTTTCATACCATTTAGAAATCTGCATGTCATACCATGCTCCACATGCTTCTTTCATCGGGGATCTTGCCACCTGCTTTCAGATAGCAATCAGAATAGAGAAGTATTACAAAAGAATATCATTGGAGACAAAGAGGAATTTGATTAATTTAATAAAATTACAGGACAAAGGGCTGTGCAGTTGGCTCAGCCTAGACCTGCCTCTCCTCGGGTTAAACAACTTTGTGAAGTCGTTCACTGCAAAATGGGAGCAGGAGGAGCTGTGTGAAGCTGTGCCCTGCAGACATACCTGCATAGATTTAGCAAGGATGGGACTCTTACTGCAGGCTCTAACTTCCCAAGACATACATGGAGCACCTGTCAAAGGGAAGCTGTCATCAGGCCTAAGTCAGCCTGGTTAGGTATTCAGTTCCTCTGCCTTGAGGTGAGGTAAGGGATACAGAGAAGCCACATTTGCTGGGAAAAAAAAAACACCATATGGCAACAAAGCATGAGAAGAAAAACTGACAGTTGTGTTAAATACATTTTTAGTTCCTGAGACCTTGCATGCTGTCTTTTTTTTCTACTTATTTAAACAGATACTGCAATTTTACTAGTAGTTCAGAGTAAAGAAGGCAGCTAAGGAGGAATCAGTAGGGGGTTGTCTTTGGTTTCAAAGGTGCTAGGATTAGTAACCTAACCTTTAATTATAACCATGTAAATTATGTGTGATGCATTGTCTAAGTGTGCTACATCTCAGTATAAGCACAAAAAGCTATAGTTTCTGAAGAAATGTATTTCAATCAAGCATCAGTAATTCTAGATGATACGCTATTATGAATATACTTATTTTAGCCTAATATCCAAGACAGATATTTTACAGTAGATCCACCTACAAATTATTAATAGCTAAACATTTCTGCTAATAAATCATGTAACCAGGTGTGGAAATAAAAATTAACACCCATAACTTACTGGAAAAAAAGTATTTTCATCAAATAAAAAATCTCTACAAAAGAGATATTTTTTTATTTTTATTTATTTGTTTAGATCTTCAGCTTTTTAAATTAATAATTTGACTTTTCTGTTCATAATAGGTAAACCATGCATTACTCAGATCCTTTTTCATCTTAATTGGTTCCCAACTTCTCTATAGCAAAGAGCTGTACTAACAGTGATAACACCATTTTTTGGTGCTATGAACAGGAAAAGTACACATCTGGTATAATTTGCTTTCATATACACTTTAATATAATTACAATTTATTAATAAATAGTTTAAATGCTGCATTATTTGAGCATTTTTAAATGTAGACAGCTTCATTCAAAATAATAAAAATGTGTAACTGCTTTTTTTCCTGAATAAATACTGATAGCCACAACAGTGCTACAAATTCAATTCTATATTTTTAGGTGTCTATTAAAATTAAGAGCAGTCGAGGCCTTTAGCATGTCGCAGAATAGTAATCCAAATTTCCAGTCAAAATACTTGGTTAATGGCAGATGTCTGTCTCTTTTACAGTGCTTGACAAAAGAAAGTGCCTCTTCTACATTGTAAAACTGTGGAAGAGACATGGGCCATTAGCACAAGCAAAACATTTTCACTTGATAAGTCAATCTGGGCTGTTTTTTTCTGTCATGTCAGCAATGTCTGAAAACAAAGGAGACACAGAAGCCCCAGGAGACAGCATGTCTGCCCAACCCTTTTTCTGGGGGATCTCTTAATTTGTTTTTGAAAGCACAGTGAGCCTTCCAGGTGTCAAAGTTTAATATGCTACCTAGCATGCTGCAGCCACTGACACCGTGGGATGTGAGAAAGGCTCTTCCAAATCAGTGTCCTTGGGGAACATACATCTATACTTTTTCTCCACCTCCCTGGCTGTCACAACAATCCCTTGATTAGGCAATAAGACCTGGTCTTGTCTCGAGTGATTTGATAAGCAGTTGATAACCAAGAGTTCATTAAGCTCTTGGGATATATAAGCCACAAGGTTTTCAGCATGCCTCTGCACTTGAGTGGTTTGACAGCTCCCTGTTCAGCAGCCCAGGAGTCACTGGAAGATGTTATTGACTGCAGAAATACTTGTTTTTGCCGTGAATGGTTTCCTAAGGGTGGCAACAGCCTTGGACATTGGATTATCCACGAAATGCGTAGTGATACCCAAGGAGATGGGCATGTGCCACAAGATTGGATACTCTGAAATGAGACTTCCCAACCTGATGGGACACACAAGCATGTCAGAAGTTATCCAAAAATCCAGCACCTGGCAGCACCTTGTAAACACAGACTGTCACCCTCACGTGAGGACGTTCCTGTGCTCCCTGTTTGCACCCATCTGTTTAGATACGTAAGTATCACAGCACAGTACAAAACTCCAGCCTTTATTTGCCAGAACAGGAATGAAATCAAATGAATGTTTATCATAATCTAAAGGTGATCTCTACTTTTTCTGAAGTAATTCTGTTAGCTTTTTTGTATACATCAGAAAAAAAAAAGTACCGAAAACTTGTTCCACTTCAATTTTAGTTTGCCTTGGGAATATGAATGGTATTGGCAAAGGATATGATGTATTATTTTGTTATAGCTGAACTTTATTCGTATTTAGCACCTACAGTGAATAGAATCAGGCTTATACTGAACCTTTTCTCAGGTTGTCATAAATGCATTTTTAAAATCATAACTAAATATTGTAAGCTCAGTCCACACACAGACTGCTTACATAATTTTCACAGCTGCTGCTTCTGGAATGATATTATTACTGAAGGATGTTAAATGTCAGCAAGGATGCTGTACTTTGCCCGGGAATCGCTGTTGCAATAGTTTCTGTTACCCCTGCGCTGCCTCAGCCTGGTGTTGCTCGCACACAGGTTCATCCATCCCTGCAGGAGCATGTGTGCTGCTGTCCGCGCCAGCTGCGCCCCCGTGCTCCTGTGCCAGGGGCAGCCCTGGCCGGCCAACCTGGACTGCGACCGCTTCCCTGGCGACGAGGACACGTGCCTGGCACCTCTCTCCAAGGACTATAAACACCTGCACAAAGGTAGCTCGGGACGCTGAGGGGAGGGTGGCCGTGCCCCGCGTTCCTGGGACGCTGTTCCCAGGACAGACGCTCTGTGTTCTGTCACTGCAGCCAGGCGTGGCTGTCCTGCTCCAGGGTCCATGTGGATGGCAGGGTGCCACCGCTGGCACTGCGAACTGCAGCGAGCCCCAGGGCTGTGCTGTGGAGGAAGGCACCGCCACCCTGCACAGCTCTGGGCACTGCCATACACAGAGCACACCACGCTGGAATTGCTCATTACAGACTTATCTATGGCCCTTATCACAGATGCTTTTATGTGCACAACAAACTGGTTCTCAGGTTAGCTTAGGAAAATTGGGATGATTTTATCTGATTTTCCTTAAAGAAGCATGAGTTATCTTGGCATAAATGTTCAAATCTTCAAATGCACTCACATTTACTAACTCAATGGAAAAGAGTACGGTTAAGTTGCTGCTAGCACACCCAAATTCATGTATATTCACAGGCTTAGTGCACCTAATCCCAGAGGGACTGACAGAATCAGCCATCTAACCCCTTACCACCCACTGCAGTTGTGTTAAAAATTATACTGTATTTGTTACCTTATTTGTTGCTGATAATTGATCTTGTCAGTCAGAACAAGGGCTGAATGAGCATGGAAAATGAAACTCCTTTTCATCTCCAGCCTTGTTTTCAGAGAAGTCTGTTGACTTTTTACCTATTATCAGTGGCCCTGTATTTGATGTGTATTTTCTCTGTCATTTCTGTGGTTAAACAGTGGGCTCTCAGCTTTGGCAGCAGAAAATTACAACTAATTATTCTAAAAGATAACAATGAGACTTTTTAATTTCTTATCAGTCCTACCAAAACCTACCTGCCAGACTTGCCCAGCAGTGGAGGAATTCTTTACACACAAAAGAGTTCTTGAAGTTTTCTGTGACAGTAACTTTGGTAAGTCCTTGCTAATGTACCTGCTGTTAGAGAGACTAACAACTCTTCTTCCAAACGCTTTAAAAGTAGGATTACAATTAGTGACAGTTTCTGCAGGGATTTCAAAGGATTAAGCGTTTGGCTGCTAATTTAGCTTTAGGTTGATTTTCAGAATAAGTTATTTCTAATCTAAATATAAGGAGGATTTATTGTGCATGAAAGATTTATCAATGATCTGGTTTCCAGCCAAATAGCTGTTCTGGTCTATGCTTTATGGAAAATATTTCTGTCAAAAGCAGCCAAATAAGCAAGTTTGCCTTTTATTAGCACTTAAGCAGAAAGTAAAGCGTTAGTGTTTTACCAGTATATGGTGTATCTTTGCTACTTTTGTGAATGAGTTTTCTTGTGATACCTCACTTACTGAGAAGGAGACTCAGAAAATCATATCAGTAGAAGGAATTCTTACCTCCTGTTGTCTTGTTGGAGTGATGAGTGGAGTTTGCCCTAGAGACTTCCTGGAAAGTCTTTGATGGCAGTGCAAGGACTTTCAGCAACTTTGGTTGGCATTAGATCAAGAAATACAGACAAATGTCATGCTAAAAAGTGTTGATGGAGTCAAGTGGGGTAGGTAGTGCCTCTAATGAAAAGGGAATATCTAAAAGGGTGGTATCAAGAAGCCATTTTTGCCCAGGGGTTCCACACATGGACAAGACGAGTTTCAGGAAAATTGCTTGAGCAGTTGCTGGGCAGTTTTGTCATACAAGAATAAGACCAACAGCTTACAATATGTAATTACTTGATGTTTGACATAACATGGTGATGGTAAAAATAAATTACACTTGTGAAAATATTTTTTCCTAGTCACATAATTCAATGGAAAAAAACCTTTTACTACATAAAATTTATTTTTCAAAAATGTTTTAAACTTTAGCTGGAAAAGGCTTCACCATACTCTGTCAACATAAATTATGAACATATTCTTAAGAAATTTTCCTGTTTTCACTGGTACTGTTTTCTATTGCACTTGAGAAATGGTCTGACTTGCACTTCCTTTTCCTTTTTCCATAGCAGTGAAAGTAAAGCTGTCCAAGAAGAGAACAGCATTTGAGGACCAAGAGTATAACATTGAATGCCAGGTGGAATTCATTACCCAGGGCTCACTGTTGCCCTATGAAACCCAGAGTATGATACAACAGTGGCTGCTAATTAATGAAAAATGTATAGAGAGGATGAGTCCCACCCACCGTCCCATGGTGTATCTCCTTGTGGGGAACATTGAAGAGGGCATCATTTTGGTAAAACAGGTTTATCGCTGGCAGAGGAAGGACTCCCAGCTGACTTTGGCCACTCAGAAGTGGAGACAACATAAATGCTTGTAAATATTTATCATATTATTTGTAAAAAGATGATTATATTTCTCATGCCAAACCTATCTTGTAAATAGGAATGTATTATAAGTTGAAAATAAAGCTTTCATTTCCTTTTAAATAGTATTGTAAGTTGAACTCAAACCACATTTGTTATCAGGTTTCCTTTTGGTAGTGTTACAGCTACTCTTGTCCTGGTGGAACTTGGACAGCTATGGAAAAATGTTTCTTTGAGTTATGATTAAAACATTTGTAATATGGGAAAAACCCAACATAAACCAGTTTCAAATCCAGCTGCTTTCAATGTATTTGTCTATACCACTTGCTCTACCATTTTCTCCAGTTACCTAAACTTTCCCTTGCCTAACGTGTCATGAATCTGCTTCATTGTCTCCCGTTGGAGTACTTTGAAAGGAGGCAGCCCTCTGCTGGTCGCTTTCGCCGGAATCAGAGTGGAATAAGGAGAAGAATAATTAACCCGGTATGTTTGGCCCCAGTCGCAAGAAAATTTGGTTACTGGGTGTCATAAATCAGATCCCTGCTACTGAAAAGTCCCTTTTCATTTTCAAACACATTACAAAAGTTAATGTATAAAATTTACCCGTTCTCCAAATGATCTGCAGGGAACTAATGGAATAAAAACATTAAAAAAAAATTACAGTAAGCACATGATTGGCATCCTCATGGTCAGTGCAATACACTGAAATTAAAGACTACATGAAGATGGACAGAACTTGACTTTAGTTTTATAAATGTGTATAATAAACACAGTAACAGGTGGTAATGCATAAATTAGAAACTATTTCAATAATACAGTGTCTATTACTATACTTTCTTGAAACAAATAAGGGGAAGGCTTATGGGCAGTAGATTTTTAAAATTCGCACCTGTAATGATCTGGGGTTCGGATACATTCCCCAAAAGTGCAGGTTTGTATCAAGTTATTGAATGTGACGACAGCTGTTCCATCACTTTCTACCATGAACTGGGAAAAAAGCGAGGAAAAGAAACCAATAAAAAAGTAAAATAAAAAATAATAGAAAAAAGCGAGGAAAAGAAACCAATACAAAAGGCGGTCAGTAATGAAAGACGCTGTGTTCACAGACGGGCCGGCTGCCCCGGCACGCCTCGGACGGGCAGGAGAGGCATCAGCGCCCGGGCCCACTCTGCGGGAACGGAGCAGTCACCCCTTTGGTCCCGGCTCTTACTTCATTTTTCATTATGCCAGAGGATGCCACACAGCCCGGGGCTGGGGGGGGGTGTTTCACTCTTGGGTCAGTTCCACGCTAAAACCCCTCGAGCAGTTGCACTCTCCGGAGCTCCGCAGCGCCGCTGGGACCGCGCCTCAAGCCGGGCTCCCGGCGGGCCGGGCCGGGGCGGCGCTCGGCACGCCCACAGCCAGGCCCGGGACGCGCCGCCTCCCCGCCCTCCCCGCTCTCGGAAGGCGTCGGCCGGGCGCAGGGCCGGGCTGGTTCCGTGGGAGGCTGCGGGGCCGGGCTGGTTCCGTGAGGGGCTGCCGGGCTGCGCGGGAGGCGAGCGGCGGCCCAGGGTACGCGGCCCCGCGGCCGGCAGCAGCGCGCTCGCATCCGCTCTCTGCCCGTCGGCTTCTTTGCCTCTCTTCAGCGTCTCTCTGGGGTTTGTGAGAGACCGATGAAGTTCTAAACCAGACAGATCCCTGTAACTGTTGTGCCGCGGTGTATGAAATCCTGTTGTTGCTACTTCGTGGCTCTGTAGCTCCAGCTGTCCCCCGCGCTGTTCGGCCGGCCGCACAGGTAAGTCTGGGTGCCATGGAGGGAGGAGGCGGCCTGGGCTCGGAGCCTCCGCTGCTCGCACGGGGGTTCGGGGAGCCGGGTGAGCCCCCGCAGCACGAGTGGCAGCGCCCGGCTCTGGAGCACTCGGTCATTGTGAGTCCTTCCTGCCCGCACCCAGTTTCGGTGGGTGCACTTTTGTCAGAATCTGAGTCTTTACTGTTTCTCTTTGATTTCGTTCTGTAAGTACAAAGTTTAAAGTACAAAGCTGTCATGTAAGCAGGTATGCTCTGTACTTATATTGTCACTATCTAGTGTAATAGTAAGTGGTTCATACAAGCAGGTATGCTCTGTGCTTATATTCTCACTATCTACTGTGATAGCAACTGGTTTAAGTTAGGTCTGCTGTGAAATATGTGTCCTGGTGTTTTTGTTCTGCTAGGTTGTAGCAATGGCTTCAGGAACAGCGCTGATTTATGATGAGGAGATGACCACTCACAAACTGCTTTGGAATGAGTAAGTCACTGCTGTTGTTTTTATTAATGGATTCTTATTAGAACTCGTGAGAGCAGTACTAAATAAAGGCATGTTTTGTAAATGTAATAGGAAGTACCTGGTAGTACTTCCTGCCATTTCTGAGTAAAAAGAAAGTCTTTCCTCCAAGAGGAAAAAAAATATCTCATTCACGGTTTGTATCTAGGTACTCTAATCTGAAACTGGATTTGAGAAACTGGAGGCATCCAGTCTGGGAGGCCTGAACAAGAGTTGTTAGGATGAGGTGTCTGAGTAGCCCCCTAAATAATGTGTTTTAAGCTAATTAAATTGTTTATAAAATTAAAGTATCATTGACCTTGGAAAAGTGCGCAGATGTACTCACTCAGCTGAAACATGTCAATTACATTCAGTTAGAAATTCGTATATTACTTAAATTTTCATAAATTAGAGGAATTCCTTTGCAGTGCTCAGAGTACAATCCATTGTTGTCTTCTCTTCCACACCTGCTTCTCCTCTATTCACCTTCATTGTAACCTACAGCTTTTAATTGCAGCATTCCTGTGTCTGTAGTTAAGCATTGCAACTTTTTACCAGTGAGAGAAGAAGCAAAAAATGATGCTATTGTATTGTTTGTTTGGGGTTTTTTTAAGATTCATTTTTGCTTACATATTTTAGAATCAATTTCTGACTCAGTTCTGAAACAGAAAATACTTTAAGATTTTTTTTCCATTTTTACTCTCATGTATCTCTCTTTGAGGGTAATGAATTTTCTTAAAATGGGGAGTTAAAAGCTAGGCTTTATGAAGTGTATTATTTACCTGTGCTGGTATAGTATTACAGTAATGTAATTATTGTTTATTTTTAGTCCCATTTGTGATATTGAAGTGCCAGAAAGACTTTCATCCTCCTATGAGCAGCTTAGGAGTTACCATCTTGTGGAAAGGTGTGTCCATGTGCCCATCAGAGAAGGAAGCGAGGAGGAGATCCTGTTGGTTCACAGGTCTGAAACTTAACTTTCATTCAGATTAATCCAATGAAACAGCAGATCTCATACCTCCAGATTATATTTTAATCCATTTGAAAAGACTGTTCCAAAATGCAGTGGCCTCCATTAATTTCAATGGAAAATGTGTCACAATGTTGAGTATGGCATATGTGCTGAATTATGAATCTGCTATTCCACTAAATCTGCATTCTCACTCTGTGGAGTCTTACACAATGAATGCTGATTTATACATAGGAATACAAGTAAACTTCTAAAAAATGTTTATAGTTGCTTACTTAGGTGTTGTGTTAATCTCTCTCCCCTGCAGTTTAGAGCACTTGGAAGTGGCAAAAAGCACTCAGACAATGAATGAGGAGGAGCTGAAAAGGGTCTCTGAAAATTACGATGCTTTTTTCTTTCATCCGGTGTGTAAGTTAAACTGCTTCCTCTCCTGGGAGTTACAACTATTTGTCTTACTGCACCTGAGTGGCATTTTTCTAAGGAGGGGAAGATTAAAAATACTTTTTTTGCTACTGATGTAGTCTCACATTTATTTATGATACTGTCATTTTCTGTTTCTATTTTAGTATAATGCTGCAATTTAAATTGCTCAAGTGTCCTGTTGTCTATTTTGTAATTGTATCACACCAGTATAATGCACTACTCAAATTTTAGCTCTAGTTTTGTCACTTAATGTCACTGTAGACCATTAGTGACCTGCAAATCACATTTTGGTAACAATTGCTCTTAAATGTTGTTCCATGAAATGGAGATAAAGTCTTCTGTACTATATTTCTGCAGGGTTTCATTCCTTGTTTTCAAAGATGCCATGTTATTCCACTCAATACATCTATCTCACATTTTTGACTGCTCCACAGAGAGCATCCTTATAAAGGTTCTGGTGATCACTGGTAATCACAGGGGAAAGCACACTGGAGCCTGTGTTGTAAAGTTCTGTTTCAGCTATCTTAGTATAGCTTCAGTGGGGTAGAATTGTGTCAGGACAGTTTGCTGTTGGGATGCTAAAGCACTCATGGGTGCCTTGTTTAAGCTGATGAGTTTCTCCTTCTCAGAGCACTTACCACTGTGCCAGGCTAGCAGTAGGAGCAGCCTTGCAGCTGGTGGACGCTGTGATGGCAGGGAAAGTGCGCAATGGAATGGCGTTAGTCAGGTAAGAAAATACCTGAGGAAGATTTCACTTAGCAAAACCTCTTCTGTTGTGAATAATTTATAAAATTTTGCTTCAGACCTCCAGGTCACCACAGCCAGAGAAATGCAGCTAATGGGTTCTGTTTGTTCAACAACGTGGCTATTGCAGCAGAATATGCAAAAGTGAAATATGGTCTGCAGAGGTAAGTGCTTGGTTGACTCTAGAGAAGCTTTTAATGTGTAAACAAGGGTTTGACATTGTACTAGTTTAGATTAATGTCTAGAGCTTTCTGGGTGTCATGTTCCTTTTGGTTCAGAAAAACGTTTTTCATTTACACCTTCTGTAGATTAAGATGCTGAGGCTCTTCCTCTGAATGTTTTATTTTACTGATCTGTACAGAATCCTAATTGTTGACTGGGATGTGCACCATGGGCAAGGAACTCAATATATATTTGAAGAAGATCCCAGGTTTGAAGGATTTTTTTTTTCTTCTTTAATATCAGCTGTTTAAAGATTGCTTGCCTTTCTGGAGAATAAGATCTCTTAAACTTCTAAAACTAGAATCTTGTGAGACATTAGCCTTGCTATTTTAGTCTCTGTTTTTCATTTGTTACAAAATAGAAGTAAATATCTAAATCAAAATAAAATGTAAATCTCTTTTACTTTAAGAATAACAAATAAAATAGGCAATATGATTGCCTCGATTTTCCACTACTCAGGTAGTAC